GCTGACGCCGGCTAATATTGTCAGGATTCTACAATGTTTCAGTCACGCTGAGGCGTTCCTCCATAGCGCTTGACGCAGTGTCTCATTCCCTGTTCTCAGGGAACATATGTTACAGTCGTAACCTGAGACGTTTTTCCCCAAGAACAGGGAATGAGACACTGCGTCAAGCGCTATGGAGGAACGCCTCAGCGTGACTGATGACTGAAATACTGTAGAATCATGACAATATTAGCCGGCGTCAGCCATGACATCATGCTCTAGTGCAACCAGGAAGTATAAGAGGAGTGCCTAGAGAACATGTCATGCACTTCTTTGTCTGAAGGGACTATATAAGCAGACCAGAGGCATGGCGACGAGACGCAGTGTCTCGTTCCCTGTTCTCAGGGAACATAGGTTACAGTCGAACATAGGTTACACACCTGTATTTACAAAAAAGTTAACATATAAGCCCTGGTGAAAATTCGGAGAATTTGAGATCAAAATGTCTTGTTTTGAATGAACTACTGAGATGCAGATTTGCTCTATGGTTTTCATTTGATGTGAAATGGTAAAGCGGTGTCAAAAGATATCCTGACATAAACACACCAATCTTGCTTTTACTCATGCTTTTCACGCTTGAGTTTCTTGAGACAATTTATGGATGGATCTCACAGGACACACCTGTAATCACAGCTGTAAATCTGCTCTTTCCTTCTCTCTCGCCCACTTAATATAAACAAATAACCTCCATGTGAATTCTTTCTTAATTTAGCGTGCATTGAAGCAAATGAATTACAGATCTCTAATGATAAAGGCTTAGATAAATTAAGTCATTTAGGGTCTACATTTTGGTCCACAGATATGGTTAGGTGATTTAAGAGGAACATTTAGATTCCTTGGGCAGAGACAGCTCTGTGGAAAAAACTAGCAGAATTTCTGCAGCTGGCTGCTGAGTTGCGTGTGAACACATTGTCACAGAGTAATCTCCCACAAACACAGATGCACACACACATGCGCAAATACTCTCTCCTGCTATGCTCACAGAGAAAAACTTCAAACTGAGGAGGGCAAAGCCACATAGAGACTTTTACCTCATGGTGTTTGGAACGAGCGAGAGTGCAGTGCTTCTAAAATACAACAGCCCTGTTTCTCGTTTAACTTTGTGGTTTAGATGCATTGGCAATGTGTTTGGCCTTTTGGCAGCAGTTTGGCAACCATGTACTGTTAAGTGGGTTAAAGTGAAAGCTTCTCAAGCCATCCTTGAGAGTTGAAATCACTTAGGAAATTGTGGGAAGGCGCTATTGTGCAACAATTGCTTAGTAGGTGCTATAAATTATTTTGATGTTAGTATTAGTTCTAGTTAATAGTAACAAAGCCAGACCAGAACTAACTGCTAATAATAGCCTATGTATTATTTAATTACATTCCCTAATTCATTTACATAATGTAATGAGTATATTTTGCTCAGAACTTTTTGATTTAACTTTCGCCAGAGGAGTTTTATCAACAGCCGGCTCTGACATACGAAGACAAACTGGTGCTTTGCGTCTCGCGGGAGCTGGTTTGGATCAGTCAGCAGCCTCTGATGTACCATGTCTCTGTGCTCTCTGGAGGGTGATTCGGGGCGAGAGCTGTGGGCCGAGAGCGAGGGGCTCCAGCAGCTGCTTCTAGTTGTGCTTCCTTGTGCAAATACACATATTGAACATACATAACGGTATGTCCGTGTTCATATACACACACAGACCGAAGTGGCATCTGGTCCCTCGTGAAAGATATCGAGGTGCGATGTTGGGGTCATCCGTTGAGCCGGGAGTGCAGTTTGGTATTTAATCTCATAAACATGACTCTGGATTCTTCACAAGTGATGGGAGCATTCCAGAGTTGATCCCACAGGCTGCCGTAGCACTCTGCATCCAGGAATCCGTCATCTGCGCTTGGGTCCGGACCCAAGTAACAAGAACCACACTGAGGGGAGATCTAGTACACAAGGTGTGATGTTTCTTCTTGTTGCTGTAGCTCAGCTGGTAGAGCATGGTGCTAGTAAATCCAAGGTCATGGGTTCAATTCAACATACATGGACAGAAGTTTGGAATAATTAAGAATGTTTTTTTTAAAGTCTCTTCTGCAGACCAAGGCTGCATTTATTTGTTTTAAAATACAGTGAAAACAGTAACAAAGTGAAATATTATTAGAATTCAAATGAACTGTTTTCTATTTTAATATATATTCAATGTAATTTTCATGTCACATCCTTCAAAAAATTCTAATATGCTGATTTGGTGCTCAGTTATCATCAATTATTATTGGTACTCAGTTATTAATAATGTTTCTTATTATTATCAATGTTGAAAACTATTTTTTTATCATTATTTTTTTTCAGGATTCTTTGATGGTTAGAAAATTTCAAATTATTTTGCAACATAATAATTGTCTTCTGTCACTTTTGATCAATGTAAGTGTCTGTCTTCAAAGCACAAAGCTTCAAAGTCTGTCTCACAAGTTAATTTAGATAAAATGCAGTAACTGTGTCAAACTGATAAAAAATTAATGCATGTAACAATAGTGTTTTCTTATAATAAACTGTTCATTCGCAGATAAACAAAGACATGAATTGTTTGAAAAATGAAGACTAAAAAAAGGTTCAAATAATCCTTGACAGTTTGCAAAATATAATCAGCTGATGTCAACAATGAATCTTTTCATGCATGTGTTTCTGCCCATTCTCTTCCGTGACCTTGACTGTTTTTCGGAGTTCATTGTTGAGAGAGTTAGTCAAAACCAGATTGTATTCAGAGGATAGCTTATCCTTAAATAGCTTGATCAGGATCCCATTAGTGACCTTATTAGAGGTTTTATGATGAGGGACATGAAAAATTTGGCGGCGTGAGAAGTACAAATCGTGCCGTGCTGATTTGTGGCAGCTGGATGTCACCTGTTAAGATGAGCATCTGACTGTAAACAACCAAAAGTCAAGTCACACGCAAACATGTCATACATTTCAAGACGAATGCAGCCATTTAAGGTGAACAAGGTTACAGAGAGTTGGTGGCTAGTTTTCAAAACATACGTACATTCTCATGTAATCGTGTAGGTCATCGTCTATGTAGGTTACAGCGCCACCAAGTGGTTCAAATAAGAGTTATTGACAAATAAGGGGGTTCAAAAAACGCATGTGACTTAAAAATATATATAACACTTAGTTTTAATTCAAACATCTAAAAAATGTTTATTATTCAAGTCTTTGTCTGTAAAATATCCGAAATAAAAAAATGAGAATCTCTCACCAGAAAGGAACATGTCAGTCCAAATCCGGGCCACAATTGGCACACCATATACAGGCCGGATTTGGGCGATACGATGTTGCTTGCTGTCTGGGATTGACCATGAAGTTCAGGTCACCAAATAGTCTGTAGCAGGCAAATGTAATTATTGGATTTCCTTTAAATTCCATAAATAATTGTTGCCTACTGAGGTTTGAAACACTTTTCTTTGTAGAGCTTGTTTTATGTGTAATGACTGTGGGTATTCACAGTTTGTGTGTGGGGAAGGTTTACAACATCACTGTACGTGCAAATCACTCATTAAACTAAAAGTCATGCGTGCAAGCTCCACATTACAGTGGTGTTACAGTGCAGTGAAATATAAACCAACAAAAACAGTAAAAACTCAGCTTTGGCAGCTGAGGGAAACTTTTGAAACACCTCTAAAGAATGACAGGTTGTCCTGTTAACAGCCTTCACCTGCCAAATTAAGGTAGCTGCTTTACAAAACTATAGCAGGAATGCATTTACACATGGTTGAGATGACCACCAGCAATTGCATATTGCATCAATAACCATAAAAATAGCCCTTTGGATGGTTGTTTGCTTGATTCTATTAGAGAGGTTAATGTGAAATGCAGAGCCCCCCTGCTGAGATACTGAAGCAGCACCAGGACCCACCGCAACGTTGGAGACAAACTCTCCTCTCGGGTCTGTTGCAGACATTCTCATGGTACTTTGAGTGAGAAGCTGTGAGAGGAAGTATGTCTAGGTGATGGAATGAAAAAGAAATAGAGTGAGTGGAAAAATCAAATCTCTGTTTGTATAGTATGTATTTCTAATGAATTCTGTAATTGCAAGTTGCTGGAACAGTCAGTGAATCGTCAAGCAGGCCTAGTGATGAAGAAAGTAGTCAGAATGGGACAAAGGAGCCTAGTTCAACCACTTTAAATTAATAGAACTTCGAGCCTTGCATCATGGTAGCTCAATTTTGCGGTCCCAAGGCAAGTGACTCTACAGTCCTGCAGCAATTTCAATGCTTTTGTGGGTGAAGATGGTTGGGGGCCAGAATAGAAAAACAAAATAATAGTCCTTTAATATCTTGCTAAAAATAGTCCTTTCAGCATGCCTTTGATAATCCTTTACATTCAGTTCACATTTATTTTGTTTTATTTCTATTAATTTCGTAGCCAATGATGTTTTCTCACAATACATATAGTTTTAAAGCAGCTTTACAGAAAATTGTTTTTTGATATTAGAAATGTCTCTGACGCATATAACGATTGGCTCTTTCATTGAGAAATTTGGAAATTTCTCCTGTTCTTTCTTTGCTTATACTGCCACCCTCTGACTAACAGAGGATTTTACTGGTTTTCTTATGTTATTTATGTGGTCTTAATGTTACTGTTGTTATCAATAACCATTAAACAGATAGTTCTAAGTAGGCTAAATATTTAAATAATTCCCACCAAGGTAACACATCAAGACAAACGAAGGAAATTTATTTTTTAGTAGGTTACTTTATAGTCTTTCAGAAGCAAGGATAAAACTGAAAAGATTTAAGAAACAGTTCTCAACATATTTTTCCTTTTCTGTTTTAATATAATAATAATAACATTAATCATCATATTCTTTTTCTCTGTGCGTTTAGTTTTTATTCATCTCCTCTCTTCCCTTCTCAATATGGCTTCTTCCTCGTGCCTGCTGCTAATTCCACGTCGGCTAAAGGAAGCTCGGCGGCGCCTGTCGTCAGATCCGCAAGGCATTTCGGGCTACTGGAGGCTGATTCGCCCAATAATACAAACAAGCCGCTTGACATAGTGGAATCGGTTGAACATGGGAAAACCCGCTTGCTTATGAATGAATTAACACATATTCAGCCTCAATGAATGCACGCTTTTATAATTTCCTCACTCTTCTGGAAGTGTCAGTATTTATTTGCGCATGAACTGGGATAAAATATTCAGCACGCGTGTTAAATAGCTTATCCTGCAACAGGAAACACAGGTAAGATAATATTTATGTATTGGTCTTTATTATGTATGCAGTCATCATCGCTAAACAGTGAACAAACATCGAAATAGCCTTCATTTACTGGATGCATTGTTGTGAAATATAACGGCGAAAATGAATAGGCAATGTGGCTGTATTTAGCGATATCGCGGTTCAAGTGTTTATCTGTCTTGATGCATGAAATGCGGTTTATTATAATGAAAGGGAGGCCCTTGGGTGACAAGCACCGTCAATTTGACAGTGGATGCTTGAGTCAGCTGACGTACACATTATGACAATGATGCGTTATGATGAGAAATAAATTGTTGCACGGTCGAACGAGCCATAAGGTCGTTCATATAAATATTCGTCGTAGGAATCTCGTGCTTTTATAGAAAATATGGATTGAAGGTATTGTTTGTTTCTCGAGGTGAATGGTGTCGTAGATAGTATGTCACGAACACACTGTCAGCGTTCACCTGTGCCACCTGTTCGCCCAGTACTGCAAACAGCAGGCTGATTTAAGATGCATTCACCACTACTGTAGATTAGACTTAAGTAGACGAATCGTTTTCGTTCATTTCCATGTACTGACAATTATTTTGTTTTCATTCTTGCATTCATGTTTTATATTATAGCTAAGTATAGCACGATTTAATAACATTTGAGAGCATTTATTTGGTTGGACGTATTGAAGAATCATTCATTGAATGAGTCGCTAGGCTAATGTCGTTTCCTCCCAACAACAATAATAGCCTTAGTGATAAATGTCATTGCCAACAGTTGACAAAATAGAGATAGAATTGCTTAATTGTTGATGAGGAAAACGACTGAGTCTATTTGTAGATTTGTAAGCATCAGTTTTTGTTGACTGTCATGGTTGAGGCGAGTGAATGGTTTAATGATTCTTCATAACACACTTGTAGACACCCACTGACATAATTCAGAACTGACATCCAAATGAATAGTTTAAGTAAATAAATTCAAAATAATTAAATTCACTGGGATGAATTAAAATCCTCGCCCCTAGTGTAGACTTGGAATAGGCTATGTCTTGTTTTGTTTTAATTAAAGAGCCCCTTGTTTCCATGCTGGTCCATTGAGACATATTTTTAGGAAGGTGCTTAATGAGGCAAGATCACCTCAGCCTGCTAGCTTGAGAGTCTGTATACTGTACTTGTTGTCATAGATGCAGCCTTGGTTAGATGGCATGCTGCCTCCGCAAATCCAGTGGAAAATCACAGGAAAAAAGGCCAAAGTCACTGATGTATGTTGTAGTATTATAATGGCTGTCAAATTACAGGCCTATCTGTCTTTCTTTCAGACTATTTAGTAGATCCTTAAGCCATTGCAAAGTTCTCCATAAGTTCACACTGTCCATGTAGCAAGGCAGAGGAACATATTTTACACACCTACAGTATAGTGTAATTATCTGTCCATAGCATCCACACATGCATGTCCATCAGATGAACAGTAATTGAGAGTTTGCATATTTGACAATAGGTTATTGACATGTCAACCAAATTGATCTCAGATGTCCTTCTAAATAATAGCATTTCTTCACTGGATCATTCAAATGTGTAAGAGAGAATTCACAGTAAGAAAGAATGTAATTCACATCAACTGGTAAAGCAAGGGTCATGCCGCAAGCCACAAATTGAATAGTTTTCTATCGTAATGACATAACCACAATTTCATTACGCTAAGTAAACAGTGCTTATTTTAATGTCTTCAATAAGGTCACAAGTAACATCCCACATCCCATGACAGTCCTATCCCCCCTTTCCATCTTTACAGTGAAGGAGCACTTGCTCTGGCTGGCTCACCGCCATCTCAACTGCTCACTGAGTGCAAATGTATTAATGCTACTTTTCCATTCATGTGGTTTACAGATAAGACTTGAACCATTAGCTTTTTTTCCCCCTACCTAAATGTCATGCTCCAGCACTCAGGAGAATTAAATGGCTTTTATTTGAAGGCAGGCTATGATGTCTCCGCTCAGATCGGCCCTCTGAGCACCGAGTGCCTCTAAAGCTGAAGCTTAGACAAACTTGCATGAGTCACATGATTGTTATAGTACATATCTCCCTGCATTCCTAAATTTTCCTCTGCCTATTGAGGAGGCTGAGCTTGGGAGAGCTAACAATGAAATCCTGCTTGAGAAGTTGCTCACTCATTGCAGTGAAGCCCCTCCCGCAGGAGTGAAAGGATAGAGCTCTGAAGGAGTAACCAAAGCAAGTATCAAAAAATATCACACAGGTAAAGAAACTCACAGGGGTTTCAAACCGGGTTAAGTGAAAGATCTAGTCCTTGAACTCCATGGCAGTTCCTTTTGTGGTAATGACTGGGTTGGGCTCTGTCGGATCTGATAAGTGCTTTGTTTTGAACAGAACATTCCTGTGTATTTACTCTTTTCCATGTTTTCACCAAATGTATGTGGAGTATTGGAGGCCTTAAAAGGATTTTTTTATTATTTATTCAGCCTAATGTTTTTTACAAAAGGATGTGTCATGTTGAATGACAGCCAGCCTTGGTTACCATTCACTTTGACCTTGTGAGTTAGATTGTAACAATAATTTATTCTCTAGTGCTTGTTGTCTGAAGTGAGTTCTGGTCTGCATTGTTAATTAGCAGCTGTGAATTCATGAATATATCATTCTGAAATGTCACAGACTACCTTTTGTAATTTAATGAACATCTCTCTCCTTTTAATCTAATCTTTTTTTCCTTAATCTCACTCTGTCTTCCAGCAACACTCCAGTATGGCGGAGAGTATGATGAGTAAAGCAGCCACTATGGAGATTCCTATTAACAGCAATGGGGACTCTAGGAATCTGGCAGAAGATGACAGCCTGGAACAGGTGAGTGATGCATGATGTGATTTTAATAGTTTTAATAGTGATTTCAATGTCAAAAAGTGCTCCAGTTTACCTGAACCCACCCTAATGATTCAGTTTTCTTCTGTTTGCAAAGCTGCGTCAAAATGTTGGTCACAGCGAGCGATATATTGTTAGCTGTCTACCAAGTTTGTTCAGTTTTGTTTCGCAATATCAGCCATGAGAAAAAAACTCGAGGTAGCAGGTGAGGCAAACATTGCAGTTTATAATTTTTCAGCTTTTTCTTGGAGATTGGAAATAAACAGTTACAAATTAAGGTTAAGTAATAGGAATATGCATTGTTTTCGTAAAAATGACTTCATTGGAAGTCTAGCATGTGTCTTCCTTTTCTTTGCGTTTCAGGAGTAACAGGCTAATGCAGTCGAGTACAAAAGTGTAAATCTCCTTATTGTTCAAACCACTGTAAATAGTCGTAATGTTGTCACAAGACACACCTCTGTAAGACAACTAAACTGTGGAACTGGATCCGGGAGAAGACGTGTTGTGCAAACACAAGCGAGACATTTGCTAAGAGTTTTTTTTTTTTTTTTTTTAAATAAGTATTTTTGTCAATCATGTTAAGTTCATTTTAAAAATCTCATCCTAGGAAGACCACTGCTGATCATGTTCACAGTTGCAATAATGGCGAGGCTAAAAGCAGATGGCACTTTGGTGTAAAATTGTGTCTTTAAATAGATCGGTGGCATTCGAATGTGAATACAGAATTTTTAAGCGTTTTTATGCTTAACCAGAGAGAGAAAGAGTGGCATTTTCTTTATCCCATCCATTTGTTCACTGATGTTTAGAGTGACAAGGAGCAACCCACTAAGAGGGTTTATTCATTGCTCAATGAGGGCTGAAATTATGCAAAGTAGTGTAACTCAATGTATTTTTTTTGTCAAGTCTGTCATTGTTGTATTACAGGTGCTAAATCGACCCAAAAAAATGGATTCCATTGTGTTTGATAGATTATTTTATCATCACTGTTTTCAAGTTTGTTTTTGTTTTACATTGTGCTTCATTTTTGGTTTGTATTCTTTCTTTTGTCTTTTTGTCGTCATGTTCTTCCCTGATGTCTGTGCAGGCTGCAAAGATTCAGTGGAGCTTAAGAGAGAAGGTAGGGAGTCCCGCAGCCCTCAGGGTGAGAACGAACACTGGGAAGGGTGTGTGTGTGTGTGTGCTTGCACGTGTATGTCTTTCCAGCAGAAAATGGTTTTAGTTCTCCCTATAATCTTGTCTCAATAAATGGGATGTTTTTCAAATCACATGCATTATTTTTTGGCCTTTGTCACTCCATATTAATCAGTGTTTGAGGTTAGATGCTACTCCAAATTATACAGATTTTGTTTGTTTTGAAAAACATCCTGTTTTGTCCCTTTGTGGTATTAACCAATGGCTAGTGGCCTTTTAGCACCTATTAACTCTATACAGAGCGTACTGTATACCAGCATATCTATCCCATGAGCCTGTTTATGTCCTGGGAAAAACAACACATTCATTTGACTTCTGTTTTACGATGGAAATTTACGTTTACATTTAATTTACATTTCAAGTGTCTTGCTCAGGGACACATTGGTGTCTCACAGCGGATTCAAACCCGGGTCTCTCACACCTAAGGCTTGTGTCTTATCCACAGTGCCATCACCACCCTTTCAAAGAAATGAATGAAATTGAATATTTTGTAAATTGTATATTTACTACATAGTCATACTTGTACATTACATGTGTCCATTATATAAATGGACTTTGTTCCTCCCTCATTAAAATGTTTAATAATTAGTGCTGTCAATCGAATAAAATAAATAATTAATTAAGCATTTTCTTTGTAATTAATCTTGATTAATCGCTCTAATATTAATATTTTTAATACATTTTTATATTGTAATAATTTCACATACAACAAAGTCAGTATATTTTAAATATTTGATCTAACAGGTGGTACATATAGGCTATTGAATAGTTATTTCAGTACTGAAATTGAATAGTTATCGAACACTTCATAGTTTTCACTGCATAAATTATAAATTTAATATAGATACATTTTCATTAAAGCTACAAAAGTTTTTCAGTCAAGAGCAGTGAGTGATTTTTTTTTCTCTCTCTTTTTATTTTGTTTTTTTTGATTTACATTAATGACACAGACAGGAGCAGGTTTATTAGGCTGCTGTCACTTTAAAATCTGCTGCACATGACATTGATCTGACATGCATCCCATTTTTATAAATCCTTACGTTCATTTAAGACTGTCCTTACGAGGATTCTCGACAAAATGGGCATTTTGGTATAATTTAGTCTGTTTTTGTCTGTTCCAGTGCGAAAGAACTCAATGTGGCATAGCGCAAGCCTGTACCGCACTTAGTTTGTGTCTTATTGGGCTTGAATGGTTTAAAAGCATTTACATGAAGAAGAGTGATCATATAGCTAATGTAACACTAGCTAAATAAAAAAAACGGATGCTCGGTTAATCGCATTAAATGTTTTAATGCGTTAAACTTAAAAAAAAAAATCAAAAGCTTTAATGCGTTAATTTTGACAACTCTAATAATGATACATTTAATTTAACTTTCTTCTTTAATTAGATAAAGGCACTGTATGTAACTTTTGGCCCTCTAGCGGTTAAAAAACAAAAACAAAACTGCATGTATTTTGCCGAAGGACATTGGTTTGGTTGTGCTTCGGCTCTGCATGACTGTGTGGATGAATATGGTTATCCTCCTGCTCATAAAACATTCACTACTTGGCTGAAGTAAGAGATATAACCAGTTTAGATGGATTATAGGATCTCAAGCTGACTTGCTGAAGATATTACGGTAGCTTTACCCATTAATAGACACGGTACTTCCTTAAAAATAAATTCCAACACAGCTTTACAACAACATAATGAAATGACCCTTCACAATAGATAATTCTTTACAATAAACTCTGTCTGTTAGAGAGCTACATATGGTAATGTATCTGTTCAATAAAATATATAATAATAAAGACGCTATTTACAACATTTCAAATCCCTCAGGTTGGGCCATCTCCAAAAATCCAGGCCAATGTTGATTCTTGTTTTATGACAAGCTCTGTTGCGTTCTCTTTTTGCAAGCAGAAGCTTCTCTGTTGGGCGTTTGTTTAAAATGGCTGATTCCCCAGAAGTTTGAGATTTAGGTTGTCAACCTTTCTTGCTTGTGACAACTAACCTAAACAAAAAAGTTACATAGTGCATTTTTTACAAAAAAGTTACATAGTGCACCATTAAAGAATGTTGACTTAATATTGTGATTTGTTTAACACATAAAAACAATTATTTGATAAAAATCGTTGCGGATTTGGTGCTTATTTGTAAGAAGGCTCTTTTTTTGTAGTTTATGGTCTCAGATAACATGTATGCTTTGGTGTGGCTTGTTGACCGGCGTTTTATAGTCCCTAATGTGACTTGTTTCAGATAACTGTTCAGACTGTTTCCTTCCTTGTGCTGTAATTGCCTGGTAAGCTTTGGTGTCAAATTCCTTTACTACAACAAGGAAACGCAAAGAGTGTTTTTTTCAGAGGGTTTGTTTTCACAGGAAGTTGCATACGATTTTTATGTCTCACAGACACATGATTCTTATTAATTCTAGATCTAATGTGATTCTAAACCTAAAATGTTCCTTCTAACAATTAACAACTTTTGCCTATGTTTGTGTGTTTAGAACTTGCACAAATGGCTCACTACATGACAAAATAATTTGTAGGATCGCAAATTTGAATTCTTAAGATCTCTTCTTTTCTGTTTCCATGTCTGTAGGACTTGCAACAGGTCATGGTGTCTGGACCCAACCTAAATGAAACCAGCATCGTATCAGGTGGTTATGGAGGTACGACGGAAGGCATTATTCCAACCAGCTCTATCAAAGGTATAAGAAACCCTGTCATTCTTTAACTCTTCACTGTTCTTCACATCTTCTTCCAAAACCCAATTACTACTTTTGTAGTGAATACGTAAAATACAATCTCACACAGCAATATGCAAAACACAGCAATATTTTCCACTCATTTCTTTCCTATGGTGCAATCCAAATGAGAGCAGCATTGTGTGTGTATAGGTAGTGTGTGTGTGTGTGTCGTTCTTAATGGCTTTAACGTTTGACATTAACCAGAGTGAAAAAGGCCACTGGTCTTCAGGTATCCTTTAGTATCCTTTTTTTTTATAGGGGACCTATTATGCAAAATTCACTTTTACATGGTGTTTGAACATAAATGTTTTCTGCTTGATGCTGTTCTGCAGGAATACATTTAATTACTTCTGTTTTTCTGGATTTTATTTTCTCTTTAAGCCCATTTAATATTCAACAATATTATTGATCTGCCTGCATTGACACCATTAAAAAAAAGAACCATAACTTAACTTACTTAAGCAGGACAATGATGCTATTTTCTTCTAGATCTGCTGTACAGCAGAAACAAACTTTGTTGCATTATTTTCCTGTTATCACTGTAAAACTGCTTTGAAACAATCTGTATTGTAAAAAGCGCTGTAAAAATAAAGGTGACTTGAATTGGAACGCCTGCATTTTTTTACCCTCTTCTTTCTTCTTTCCTTTTTCATCTTGTAAAAAGGGGCATAATAGGTCCCCTTTAAATGAATGTCCCCTGAAATGAAAAACTTTTGGAAAGTATTCCAACCAAAACGGACTGCTTTTGATTCGATTTTGATTTAGTTTCATGTAAATGACTTTGTCTGGACATTATATGTTGTAAATCTGATTGTAAGGTGATCACCTGGGACCTTAATAGCAGTGTAAGTTGATTCCCTTCTGAATCGGTGAGGACCTTCTGTCTCTTTTACCCTTTCTCAGGCCCTGCAATCCATCTTAACACTGACTTTCCAGGCAACAGACGCATTCCAAATGAAGGGCAAGGTCATTCATCCCTCATTCGTACCCGATCTCACTTATTTCTCTTGGTCCACCTTCCCATGATGCCTTGTATTATTGTCCTTTTTCTAAGCCATTTTGTCTTTTCTGCAGGAATACATTTAATCACATCTGTTTTTCTGGGTTTTGTGTTCTCTCTAAGCAGATTGGAACGGGCTGCATTTGTATTTCTCTTCTTTCTTACTGGGTTAAGGTAGCTTTTTTTTCACTGGCAGGAAATTTGTAATGAGGAATCATTTGTCATTTTGCTCCGGAAATTAGTTTTGAAACTTTAATCTGGCTTTAATCTTGCTTTGTCGAGGAAATGTTTAGAAAAATCTGCTGCAGAGTGGCTGGGTGTAAAGCATGGTTGGTCACAACTCCTAGTCACACTCCTAGTCGTCACACTCTTTTTCGGTGTAAATTGACATTTGTTGTTAAAAATAAATGATCAGGCATATTGGGGCTTAAAATAACAGTTCTGTGTTTTTAAATGAACTGTACATTTTCTCCTTCTGTTTGTCATGAGGCTGCAGATTTCACAAAACATCAGTCATGTGCTTTCCCGTGTTAATTTCATGTCGTTATATTATCACCTTCTCTCTCACACCCTCCCTTTTTCCCCTTTCTCCATCGTCCTGCTCTTCCTTCACATACTCTTTACACGTCACTCTCATGTGGTGCAATCCATTCCATTGTAAAACCTAATTTTCCCAATTGCCTAAACTTTTTTTAAACTTCTTAACATATCCACCACTCACTCCCTCTTCCCCATAACCCTTTATACCCCCAACATCCCCTGCAATTCCTGGCCATGACCCCCTCCAGACCTGCGAATTTAGTCCAGGGGTGTTAGCATTGCCCCAAACCAGATTGCAGCCTGCTGAATAGCCAGCCAATCATATAATGTCCCCTGTACTCCAAGTATCCCAAATGGTTCTGGATCATTTAAATGCTCTTTGGCAACATTTCCCCCCTATTTAGTAAAACACATTCATTTATTATCTCATTTCGTCATCTGTTTCACATACAGCTGATAGACTGTGTGTCTGTGTGTCTCTTTGTAATTAATGGTGGCCAGCCACAATATCTGAAAAATGTGTATTGTGAAAGTCTAGACATTTTGTTCAGTGTATGTGTGTGTAATTTGAGACTTACTGTAAGCATTTTCTGTGTATCAGGGTCCAACATGCATCACACCAGTAGCAATTCCTCCATGACAGCAGAAGAGGCCACAAGAGGCGTTGCTGTGGAGAAATTTGACATCGTGAAGAAATGGGGTCTGAACACATACAAGGTTTGTCAATTAACTTTTTATTTTTTCTGTTTAGATGTTATATGCTGTTAGCCACTCCAATTTTGTGGTTCTCTCCCTTAGTGCACCAAACAGATGATCTCTGAGAGGTTTGGCCGAGGCTCACGCACTGTGGATTTGGAGCTGGAGGCTCAGATCGAGGTTCTGCGGGAAACCAAACGGAAGTACGAGATTGTGTTGAATTTAGCGCGAGCGCTAACCAACCACTTTTACAGCATGGTGCAGACGCAGCACGCCCTTGGAGACACTTTTGCCGACCTCAGTCAGAAGTCTCCAGAACTCCGGGTGAGACGCCATGGTCATCTTAAGATTTATGACATTTGGTGTGCCTGCCATGCAAAATTATGGGACTGGTGTAAACCTACTCATGTATTTTCAAACTGTCAGTGTTAAAAATAATTAGTGTTTACAGACAGAAAAAACTGTCATCAAGCACAAGAAGTCCACTGTTGTTTCTGAGTTTACTTTAGCGTTTGTGTTTTGCTACTTCTACACCAGAACAGTCAAGAATGGCTCTAACATTGCTGGATGGATTGTCTAAGACTAAACAATTGAACAGTGAACTGTCTAAACCTAGTTAAACAATTGAGTAGTCAACACTACACGACAGACATACTACCAAAAAAAAAAGGCTTTTTGACATTTATATTTATTTATATGTATATAGAAAAGATACATCCATGTGAAATAATTTGAAAGCATAGCAACTAAACTTGTATAATAAAACGTTGCAATGTATTAAACAGGACTTTCAGAATTAGGGGAGTTGAAACATCAATATGTATTTATGTTTTAGTGTTTTGTCATTTCTATTAGTTATTTATCTTTATTTTTTACTTCAGTTTACAACAATTTTAGTGCCTCAACTTAAACTTATTTTATTTCAATTAGTTGCCAAGCCAACATGTCTAATTTTCACAAAGTTTTTTTTTTATCTAAAAGATTATATTTTATGTTATTGTAGCTTCATTTCAATTCAAATGTTTTAATAATTGTAGTTTTAGTTAAAATAACAACACTGCAATAGAGTCAAACAGTCACACTCACAATAGTGTACTGTGGTATTGTTTTTTTCACACAGGATGAGTTCGGATACAATGCAGAAACACAGAAGTTGTTGTGCAAGAATGGAGAGACTCTGCTCGGTGCCATCAACTTCTTTGTGTCCAGTATCAACACACTGGTGAACAAAACGATGGAAGACACACTGATGACTATCAAGATGTATGAGAATGCCAGGTAAAAGCTACTTCAGCAAAAAAAAAAAAATCTTTTTAAGGTGTTTAAAGTGATTCATTTCTCTGCAATATGAAATGGCACTGGGCAGTACTTTCTGTCTGGACGTCAAGCACTTAAATTGTGTTTTAAGTTAATTAGCCTATGAAGTAACTGGATGTTGAGAGGGTCAATATACTTTAGAGTTGTCTGGGTTAGTATCGAATATTACTGCACTTGCAGACGAGATGGTATTGAATGAACTCAGTGATACACCAACAGGCACTGACACTGGCTGGCCCTCTTTCTCAGCCTTTTGATTGAAAATAATCAAACCAAATTGGTGTAAAATTTCAAACCAAACTTGGGTCTTCAGCCGACAAAGTTTAAATGCTATCTGGCTAGCGTGCTTCGGCTTCCCATAATGTTTACTCATTAGTTTAGTAGGCGATCTTTGTGGCTTTTCGAACACATTCAACTAGATGAGCGTTTACACTGTGAAAGCAATCTGATTAAATGCGTTTTCGACCAGCTCTGGAAGTGGTCAAAATGTTTTAGACCCTGTTTTCGTCCACTTGTGATCCGATCAACCAAATACCAAGTCGTAATACTAAGTGTAAACAGGGCCAATTAACCATAATTAACTTTCAATTTTGGGCATCACAATGTATAAAAAGATTTATGATTTTTCTCTGATGTCCTGTAGGCTAGAGTTTGATGCGTACAGAGCAGATCTAGAGGAGTTGAACTTGGGCCCGCGGGATGCTGTTACCATGGCTCGTATCGAGGCTGCTCAGCAGCAGTACCAGATCCACAAGGACAAATATGAACGTCTTCGCAATGATGTCACCATCAAGCTCAAGTTCCTGGAAGAAAATAAGGTCCGTGACCACCCACATAACTTCCTCTTTAAGTCACTTAAGGGGATAGTTCACCGAAAAAATTGAAACTAACCCATGATTTACTCAACCTCAAGCCATCCTAGATGTATATGACATTCTTTTTTCAGATGAATACAATCGGAGATTTATTAAAAAATGTTCTGGCTCTTCCAAGCTTTATAATGGCAGTGAATGGGTGTTGATATTTTGAAGCCTAAAAAATTCCATCCATCCATCCATCATAAAGATACACCACACGGCTCTGGGGGGCTAATAAAGGCTTTCTGAAGAGAAGTTATGTGTTTGTGTTAGATATCCATATTTAAAACTAAAAGCTTCCGGGAGACAGCCTACACAAGTCAACTTAGGCCGTGTGTCCACCAAAGCGTTTTTATCCAGCTGAAAACGCTAGACGCTCTGCTGAAGACGCCGTGCTTTGGGCGCTTGAGAGCGCTTTGGCAGCGCAGCGGTTTTTCTGTTGAGACGTTTCGTTGCTATGATACTGAATATATGCAGCAGTTTGAATGTTGTGACAGTTGGTTGGTGTGGTTTGGTCCCGCCCCTCCTCCACTGTGATTGGACGGCTGGGTTTGTGACCCTGATGAGCGCTGCGTTTTATCCAAAGTTGAACATTTTTCAACTCCCAGCGACCAGTAAAAACGCTGGGCGCTCGGCGCTTCAGCGTGAAAAAGAACGCTCTGCGCCTCGGTACGCTCACGGCGTTTAAAAAACGCGGCGCTCCCATTGAAAACAATTGAAAACATACGCCAGGCACGTGGAAAAACGCTTTGGTGGACACACGGCCTTAAGGTTAAATCGTAACTCCTGACACGATAAATGACGTTGGATGTAGGAGTAGTGTAAGCTTCGACTCCTCTCACGGTTCAAACAAATTGGGCTAGGGAACAAACTCGACATTTCTCTTTAAAAATATACATATTAGACTTCGAATTCGTGACCAGTGTTTTGTTTTGTGCCATTCTCTGCGCTTCCGTGTCCGTTATGCATCAGGTCAGGGGTTACTCTTTCGCCGTAAATCACGGCCGTCTGTCGGAAACTAGTTATTTTAGTTTTATAAAGTTTTAAACATGGAATTTTTTCTTACACAAACGCATCGTTTCTCTTCAGAATGCTTTTATTAACCGTGTTGAGTACCTTTATGATGGATAGATGCACTTTTTTGGACTTCAAAATACCAACACCCATTCACTGCTAAGAAAAGCCAGGATATTTTTAATAACAAAGTCGTATACACCTAGGATGGCTTGAGGGTGAGTAAATCATGAGGTAATTTTCATTTTTTGGTGAACTATCCCTTTAATCAGCCCTTGATCTATCTGTTGACTCTGTCTTGTCATCTAACATGGTGTGTTTGTGTAACTATCTCACAGGTAAAAGTGATGCACAAGCAACTTCTGCTGTTCCATAATGCCATCTCTGCCTACTTTGCTGGAAACCAGCAGCAGTTGGAACAGACCCTCAAGCAGTTCAACATTAAACTCAAACCACCAGGGGCCGACAAACCGTCTTGGCTGGAAGAACAGTGAAAGTGCCCATTCACGCCTGATTTCCTGATATATGTCTTTAGCCAATCAGAGAAACACAGTAGGACCACAAGAGACCAGCAATCTGAGATGCTAGCAGAGACGGGGGTACAACAGAGCCTCTTTCCACTATACTTCTCTTCCTTGATTCTTCTCCTCCTATTCTTGCTCTGAGACAAGTGTCAAGTGTCTGAATAGTCACCTCTGGTATGTAACCAGTCCCAAAGTGTCCAATCAAATGTCAAAGATATCAGTTTAAGCTTCATCCCTATACATATCATTAAACCAGATGAAACAATCCTTCTGAAATGTCAGTCAGAACAACTATTTCTTTTCAAGACTGTTCTCAATATTGCTCACACTCGTCACACACACACACACTTTCTCTCTGTCAGTGAACACATTTTAAGGAACATTTTCCTTTTGTTTTTCTGTGAAAAGTTTTTCTTTTTTCTGTATTGTAGATTTGGTATTGTAGCTGATGGGGGATTCATATCATTCCTATCACAGAGCTTTCAGTGTTCAGTGTCGGTGGGTCTAACTAAAACTAAAAGTAATTTTATTTGGATAAAATCCAGATATGAGTTATCTGGTATTAGTATTGCATCCTTGTATGTTTACTAGGCCATGAGAATACTGTCAATGCTTGTCTCTCTTTGAAATACATGAAATATTACATTTAATGTCTTAAAATGAGCTGCTCATTTTAAGCTTTTTAGCCTCAAATTAATAATTCTTTGACATATGTTATGGAATGAATTTCAGCACATGTGGGTGCAGTTTCCTGCACATTTTAACAAAGGCCAGAATGGAAGATGAATCTAAATATCACCGTCTTTTGTCAATATTGTTACATTTGCTTTACAGCTTTGAATAGTTGAAACATGATTGTTTTCTTGAAGGGAGAGGAGAGTCATTTTTATTTCGACAATTATAGTTTATTGTAGTATTATGTACCAATGCATAATACTGTATCATTTTATAGGTTTGTTACAATTATTTTAAGTTAATAATCACCAGTTAATCAAGGAAGTGTATGTATGAATTGTATCTGATTGGTTTAACATGGGTCAGTGATTAATGCCCACTATGATCTGCCTCTTTATCTAATGAAATGTGCATTAGAGTTTATGTGTTCTGTTAGCATCAGCAAAGCCCTAATATTCCCTTATTATGCATACAAATGCCACCTTAGAAATGTTCGGATGCACCCTGTTTAATGCCTTTATTTGCCTTTTTTTTTAGCAAAACTAAATATTTTTTTCCCCAAAGAAAGATTTATGTACATATTAATATCATAGTTGGATTTTTTGCTTTATGTCATAATACTACTAATATTTTATTTCGTTAACCCTCAATGTTCACGGGAAATGTAGTACAAAATCAAATATATTTAAAAAAAATAATATTTCAAAATATTTGCTTTTTTATTTGTGTCTTTTTATTTGTGATGTGATGGTATACTGTCTTGTTTTTTTTTCACCTAAAATATCTACAGTAAGCTATAGCCTTGATGCAGTGATAATGGGGTTAAATTCAGACTGTCAAATTAGTTTGCCAGTTATTTATTTCATTACATAAGACTGAAATAACGACTATGATCTAATGTTCAGAACTTTTGAACATTGCACTAAATCTTTCTAAGCTTGAGACGAAGCAATACTGAAGATGTTTCTAGAAAGTATATTCCCATGTATGCCTGGATTGGCTGTTCTCTGTGTGTTTTTACATGTTTTACAGTTCTGATGAAATAGTTGTACATTTCCATCTAATTCATTCCTGTTCAATGCTTCAGTAAAACACTACATGGGTAATAGTGCAGAAAAATATTGTTTCTAGGAAAAAAAGAGAAAGGTTACTCATGAATGTTAAAGAATGCTTGAAATTTAGTTTGAATGTCGTGTAACCTAGTGATTTTTTTTTTAAATTGCCTTTTACATTTTGTTTTGTAAAGGCCACTGTCACCTCAGAAGAAAAAAATTGTCAGATGTTTTTTATACCAATTATTTTGTTTGTTACATCCTGTACAGTTGTCGGGCAGCAGAGACGGGACTGTGTGTGATTATTTTCTTGTTGAGAGCTGGAGAAAAGGATTCCCTCTCGTGCCATAGAGACTGCACTGATCCATGAAGTGAAAGACATTTGTTCCAGAGCAATAGGATTTTAAATTTAGACCTCCTCAACACTAAACCTGGATATTGATGATTTTATTTTGATGACGTGTTTGGTATTGAAATGGTCACTCCATTAGTCATCCTAGTTTAGCATAGCAGAATGAAAGGGTTATAAATATTACCATATTTATGTACAATCAATATTTTAGGCTGCTTTGTAGTATTGTAGTGTATGAATGATTGTATATATGTAAAGATAATTAAGACAGATTTTGAAACTGGAAGCTTATGATGTTAGCCTTTGCTCCTGGCTTTGACCAAACCTTTGACCGACAAATGTACAAGAACCCACCAGATAAAATTTGAAAAGTTTGCAAAAATGGACTTTGTGTCATTTATACTTGGATGATGTCCTATTTTGCTTTGACCCTGTTTTCCCCCAAATTTGAACAAGCATCAGGCCATGCTAAATACATGCTGACCACTAGGTATGTTGAATATGATAACGTTACTTCAGATGTTTTAGGGCCAGTGCTCCAGTAACGTAATTAAAACTTTGAATCAATGGATGATAAATAAAAATCGATTGTTAACCTTTAAACAACTGAAACATGGTCTGAATAGATAACCAACGAGCTATTTAAAAAAAAAAAAACTTTTACGTTACATTACATCTGTTTCTGAAGAGGAAGAACTAAATGTTTATACAATAGGCTAAAACAGATCGGGTAAGTTAACGTTAAAAGATTTTAGACGAATCAAAAGTCCAATATTCTTACATTGTTTATGTTTGACTTGTTAAATAAATCAGGGTTATTACAAAAATTAAATAAATAAACAAATATATATATTTGTATTCCATAGTGCCCAGTGTCTGTAGTTTCCTTTCTTCTTTAATTAATTAAAATATTTCTGAAAAGGTATTTTTAAAAAGCAAAGGTGAGTGTTGTTGCTCGTGCGTGAGGGGCGTGGCTTCTCTCATCCATAAGTGCTCGTGCTAGTAGTTGATGGCGTTGCGTTTGACCCGGGGAGTGTCTGATGACTTTCTCCAGCAATGGACGTCAGTTGATTAAGCTTTCATCAACTTTAATCCCAATTTGGTATTTACTTTCCGGTACGGTACGTACCTCCAAAATGAAATGAATTTTCTGCCACTTACTCTTAATGTTGCTTTCTCCTAGTTTTATAATAATCGGTGATGTTGGTCTGAATTTAAATTATTAGCTTTTTCGGGAGTTAACACATTTCAGATGCAGTATTAATGACTGTATTTTCGCTATAATTTTGGACAATTGTGGAGTTAAATATTTTGTCTCAAACGGCAGAACTCGAACAATGTAGTGATCTCTATAAACTTATTTGATTGCTTGGTCTTTTTTTGTAAACAGTGGAATTGCTGTGCGTTAAAGAAGTCATGTAAAGTCCCTGTTTTGCTAGTGTAATTTAAAAAAAATCGTTTAATAAAGATGTGTGTAAAATATTGTTTATATGTTGTATGTATATGTAAATATTGTCATAATAACATAATGTGCAGGCTATGATGTTCACGTCAAAAGTAGCCTACTTCTTTAAATGTTGGAATTGTTGCTCTCTTACATCTTAAAAGTAAATTAAGCAACCAGTAGAGTTTAAAAGTAGAGACCAAAGTATGTGTGATATGCAAATTGTCCTTTATGCCTGATAACTTTAATCAAATTGTTTGTTTAACTCCCTGTTACAGTTCCTGGGCAAATTGGTCTTGTTAAGTATTATCTGATTTTGTGGTTTGCTCACATGGCTTTTTTGAATAAGCAACTTGCTTTTCCAGTCTAAGTTTTATAATTGGTGTTTGCTATTTTTAATTCGGGTCATTTGGTTGCATCCACAGTATCCAACAAACAGGCTTAAAGGTCCACCATCTGGTCCTAAATTGTGGCTTTACTTAGGTTAGAAATCTTGGAAGTTATTTTTCAGAAGTCCATTTCTTGCTTCTGTAAATATTCTGTTTTTCTATGTGCCTCTCATTGATTTGTATTTTTATATTCCTCTCTGATCCCTCCATCCAGTGAACTGGGTCCACAGCGTGTCCTCCAATGGATGGAGCTCCAGTTGTAACCACGGCACCTCTTCCTCCTGATCTTTCCAGGTGCTTTCAAAATGAGACCTCACCCTTCAGACGTCCCACCCTGCCCCTTTCTCAGGGCCCTCCACCTCCTCCTCCTCCCCCTCCACCTCCACCACCACTTCCACCCCCACCGCCCCCACCTCTTTCACATTTGGGGGACCCCTTCATCCGGACTGTCCAACAGCGCTCAAAAATGCGCAACTTCAACTGGGATGCCATCCCCAGGCACAGTGTGTTGGGCAAGCGCAACGTGTGGACAGCCCAACGCAACCTTGAGAACTTTGAACTGGACACTAAGCGCATGGAGGAGCTTTTCAGCCACAAGGAGCACCATGATTTGGTTCGCAAGGGTGGGACGGTCAGAAAAAGTGTGTGGGGCCTTTCGCAAATCGCTACAGAATCAGAGAAGGTAAGTGCCTTTACTTAAAAGTTGATTTAACCTGTTTAACTGTCACCTCCTTTTTGAGCATAAATGCACTCTGAATCTGAACTTAAATGGTTGTTATTCAGGAATGATTTGTAATACAGAGCTAAGACAATCAGCAGATTAAAGGCAGGGTAGGTGGTTTGTTCCAGAAACATTTTTTGTTATGCTGGTTGACATTGGAGTCACTTCACATCCTGATACCAATCACTAAGATGTCAATGTATGTATAGGCTATATATTGTCTGTTGAAGGCGTATGACCATAAAATGTTCACCCGACCCAATCATTGCATATGGTCCAAATTCAAATAATGCTTTCAAAGCTTACTCGCTATTGCTAGTTTCTCCAGAAAATGGCTACCCTACCTTTTAAATACCAAAGTGAAAAGTTTACTTAAAAGAAGTTTCCTGTAAAGCATGTACTGCACTAAAAAAAATGTTATTTTATACAAAAAAAATAAAAGCCATTATTTCTAACCAAGTTGTGTTCTAAATTCTGTCTCAAAACAGTGGCCAAATATGGAAACCTTGTATAGCGAGCCGCTACCGGGACAGTTGTTAAGCCGATCTTTGTTGTAAAGCTGAGGATTTGTCATTAATAATAACTAGGTCTTTTGGCTGGGACAGCACTGCAGGGTTGACCGACAGCTCAGATGTCATCTCTTGTGTATCAAGATTCAAAGTTTAGTAGCAAGTGGGTGAATTAAACATGACATGTAGTTACTCGTCGTTAGTGGCCTCATTTGTGTCTCTCACCTTTCAAAAGTTCAGGCAAATGATCTGGAGAGGTGACTCCAGTACTTCTGCTCTGATAAAGCTTCAGTATTGGACCTACTGTGTTGGACTCATTTACTGTAGGTGGAAGCACAACAAGATTATTAGCTATGCTTGTTTGTTTTCCAGTGCGTTCTAGTTTAACCAACTTGTCCTGAGGTCATTTCAGTAGCTCAAACAACATACTTAACTTTGAAGTATTAACTATGAGAGAACAGATCAAACAAAATTTACTGTAATGTAAAGCGAGCATGTATTGTTTGTTAGGAAGTTATGTTGAGAAATGCTGAACTTTTCACAACAATGTAAGCTCATGTCTGTTTGATTCCACTTCCATCTTCGCTTATACAATGAATGGTGCATGTTCAGCATCATGCTTCCTAGATTTTATTTTTAGTTGCGGTCACTGAATATAATATGTTATATTCAGGGAACACTCTCCCAGATTATGAGAAATTGACACCATATATCTGTATTTTTATTTTTTTTTTTTTTTAGGTATCAATTCTCAACTCTAAGAAAAGTATGAGTATTGGGATTTTGCTAAAACAGTTTAAAAGGTAAGGTATAAATTTAAATTATTGTCTGTTCTTTAATTCCTAATAACATTTTTGCATCTCTTGAGTGAATATTGTACATGTACAATGCATGGATAGCAAGGCAATCAAAACCTAGCGTCTAGAAGAACATTACACTGAATTGCATATATAAGAAATATGTGTGATTAATTGCTGAGACCTCACGAAATAACTCTTAGGTAGCCATTTAAAAACATCTCGTGTGTGGTTCGGTGTGCTTCTCAGGCCACCGAAGGATATTGTTGATGCTGTCAGGCACGGTAAACTGTGCTTTGCTTCTGGGAAACTGAAGGAACTCCACAAGTGGTTGCCTGATGACATGGAGGTAAACTGGCTTTCTTTAGTCTATATGACTGCATAGTGCTATGCTATAGTTCTGTTTTTAAAGGGTTAGTTCAACCAAAAATAAAAGTTCTGGCATTTACTCAAGTTGTTCTAAACCTTCCTTCTTTTGAACACAAAATAAGTTATTTTGAAGAATGTTGGTAACCAACCAAACCAATGTTTTGGTCCCCATTGACTTGCATAGTATTCTTTTAGAAGGTTTAAAACAGCTTGAGGGTGAGTGCACTTTAGGGGTGGCGATGGTGCAGTGGATAAGACACATGCCTTTGGTGCGAGAGACCTGGGTTCGAATCTACTGTGAGACACCAATGTGTCCCTGAGCAAAACACTTAACCCCTAGTTGCTCCAGAGGCATGCGACCTCTGACATGTATAGCAATTGTAAGTCGCTTTGGATAAAAGCGTCAGCTAAATTAATAAATGTGCATAAGGACAGAACTTTGATTTTGGGGTAAACTGTCCCTTAAACACTGCTTATGTATTGACATGTTCCAGACAAAGAAGCTGATGTCATTCAAAGGAGATTTATCTCAGCTAAATGATGCTGACCATTTCATGGCGATGCTGGTTCAAGTACCCGGGTGAGTTTTTCTCTCATGGTTAAAAGCATGTGAAAGGCCAATTTCTGTGCCCAGGAAATTCTGTGGAAAGATATTTATATGTCAACCGCTAATTCAACCGGGCTTCAGCTGAAAAGCTGCTAATAATTCTGTGACTTTTATTTATTTTCAGGTATAAAGTGAGGTTAAAGAGCCTGCTCCTCAGAGAGGAGTTTTTTCCCTTTATAGAAGAAATCAAGCACTCCATTGCTGTCATGACAACTGCTGCTAATGGTACTTTAAAAAGTCTAAGTCCATCAGTAAAAATTTCACAAGAAATTATGTTATCAGCATATGAAGTTAGGTGAAAATTGGGTTGTTTTCATGTTTCACGATCATGTTCTCTAGCATAATTTGAAAATAGTCCAGAGAGCATATTGTGCTTCAGTTGAACTACGAACATTTTACAGTCTGTACAATGTTCAGCATTCTAATATTCTGATTTAGTGCTCAAGAAAAAATTATTTTTCTCCTTTGTAGAATCGCATTTAGATGAAATCATCAAATTATTACTTATAAATCAGTTTTGCTAAATAAGTAAGTGTTGATTTCTTT